AGTGGAGAGCAAATGTTTTGAGAATGATAAGGGCAATGAATGTACAAATGTGCTTTATACACAATTGATATATGTATGGATTGTGGTAAGAGTTGTATGAGCCCCTAATAAAATGATTTTTAAAAGATTTTAAAATAAATAAATAAGCATTATAACAACAACAACAACAACAAAAAAGCCAAGGAGCAGAGTGTCCTATCATGATTTAAATGTTTTTAACTAATGAGAATTCTTGAGATTGTCTACTACTGGAAGGAAATCAATCAGAATATCCCCTAAAGCAAGTTTTGGTACCACAGTAAATTTAGCTAAGTTGTTATTTGAAAAAATAGATTTTTGAGAATTAGATTTTTGGTGAACAGCCTTGTCTCTCGCATTTTGTTGGAGGGTACATATTTGAAGGTTTTTTTTTGGCATTTTAAAAAATTCTATGTAATAGAATGCATGATATTTAATTCTCAGAACAATCCTGACAGGTATTTGTTATTAGCATACTCCCTGGGTAATGTATAATTAAATGTTCTGGAAATTGTACAATGTTGGCCTATTCCCCAAAATATGTGTGTACTCCATAGCTCTTCCTACCACTTTAACCAGATAAATAAATTATTTTTCAGGACTATTTTGTGAACAATCCTAATGTTTATTTATCTTTCATATGTTAAAAACTTTTCATTATTCTTTTCAGAATCAGAACTCTTCGTTACAAAATTCTGTCATAAGAAGGACATAAATGAAGAGACCAGAAGAATATCCTCCCTTGAAGGAGCGAGATGGTTAACTTTACCGAAATAATCTTCATAGTAATTGTATGGGTGCCTTTGTCATTACTTTAAAGGGAAATTCGGGTACAATATCAAATACAAAAATTGCATAATTTTGCTATTATTGAACGACTCCAAAAATAATTTTCAGTTGAAAATCTAAAAGTTGAATTCTAAGAGGTGAGTCTTTTCCGAATAGTGTATTCTTGATGACAGCATCAACCTGAGTCCCTGAATTTTCAATGTATAGGAAATTATCAAAACTTTCCTCAATAATGACACCAAACATGGCTCTGTCCTACCCCCACTGCTAGATACTTGACATATTGATATTTGCTTACCCACACATTCTTTCATTTCACTTTAAAGCAAGCAGTCAGAGCCTTGGAAAAGGAGATCATTAGGAAGAAGTTAATTAGAGAGACAATTACAGATATTTCTTTTAGATACTTCTAACCGCCATCCATTCCATGGGAGAAAAACAAAACTTAATACTCCTTTAAATAGTTACTATCTTAGAAACTCAAAGGGGCAGCTCTACCCTTTCCTATATGGTCGCTATGAGCCAGCACCAATTTGATGGCAATGCATTTGGTTTGGTAGCTTAGATGTGGTAAATGATTAGAGAAACTAAAGTGAGCATTTAGCAGACACTGGAAGGAAGCATATTTCGTTTCACCAAACTGATCCTCTGTGAGAAGTACTGTGGAGTAGTGTCTCCCTCTTCATCCCTCCCACTCTATTGCTTTCTCTTCTTAGTGCTATTGCTGCCTCTCTTTTCCGGCTCCTATTGTTACTATTATAAAAGAACGTTTTGGGAGCAAATTAACTTTGGAGAAATAACATGGGTTTTGACAGGAGCCTCTCCTGAGTTCAACTACTGAAATAGTCATTTTCTGGCTACCTGGGTTCTTCAGAAGCATTTTATCTTCCTGTCTAAATTGGTAAAAATTATCCCAAGACAGTGGGGAGTGAGTGAAAGATTATTTTAAATGAAACCTTTGCCTTCTAAGAGTTCAACAAAGTTAGTTTCTCACTTCCATTAGTAAAGGAATTCTACATTGTGTAGTTAGGAACTATGATTTCTTTGTGCTCTAAATCAGATAACCTGAAATCCTGCAATTTAGAATGTCAGATAAACAAACAGGCGGCACTGAAAGAATAAGCTACCTCAACATCACATGGCTGCAAGCTGGTTAGCAATAAACTCTTGGAAGCAAGAATTATGTTTCACATTGCTTTTCACAAATGCAATACTTTGGTTATATTAGTCATAGTTATAGTCCAAGAAAAATTGTTCTCTCAAAATTTTAATCAAAATCCACAAATTCTCATACATAGACAACCAGACCTCCTAATCTGAAGAAGAGGGAAAAAAATGTTTAACTTACCACAAGCATACACGTTTTAGCACTGGCATCCAAAGCCATTACTTTCCAGGTTTCTTTGATGTTTCCTGGGATGGGTTTATAAAGATAAGAGGCATAAAGGATACAAAACAGCGCAAAGCAGAAAGCTTTGAACCCCATCATCCCTACTTTCAGTCTCTTCCAGGGGCTGAGATAATTTTTTTCAATGACTTCTGAATTATAGACCAGAGCAAATGTAGAGGGAGGACTTACTCAGGTCAGATGATTTTCTTTGTCACATGAAACTAATTTTCTACCTGAAGTATTTAACATCTTGTGTTTTGCAACACAAATCACCTGAAAGAGATGGTGTAACACAAGCCATACAGGTCATGCAAGCATTATGACAAAATGAAAAACTCCCCACCTCCTTCTCCACCCTTTAATATGATTGTTAAACCCATCATAAATATGCCACTGAAATCCCAGAAATCCAACAGTCTAAATGCAGTGGGATTTGGGGTTTTTGTTCTAATAATAAATGTGTAAACCATGATATAAAACTCTACAATTGGTTAGATTTGCAAAGAGGAGCTCACAAAAAGAGTGTTTTAGATTATATTTAGCCAAATTGAAGGCTGATAACAGTGTTTTTCTTTTGCTTTTCATTTTCATAAACTTCATTATCTTCATTTTTTGTGTGATCCAAGTGAGTTTTATGAAAGTTAGGAGCAGTTTCAGGTTTTACAGTAAATGGAACAGAAGCCAGAGAGATTCCACAGCACAGTTGTTGGGACGCGGCACAGCCGTGTTGGGCTGTGTAACCCAGCTGCGCTGAACTGTATGTCGGAGCCGCTGGGACAGAGCACCAGATCAAAACCTCTGGCTTTTTAGGGGCCCTGTTGGGAGGCGCGGTCGACGATACTGGTCAATCCCACTGGCTGAAGCAAATTCACCTGGCTTAGATGGGGCAATCCAGGTGTACCACCCACCTAGGTGTACCACCCCTTCCTGGCCAGGAGCTCAAACCTAGCATTTTCCCCCTGAAGAGGTTTGGACCCAAATCTTTGGGGTACTGGGTGAGAACATCTCTGGCTGCTTCCTGCTGGCAACAGGAGAGAAGTGGGGCTTTGGGTCCACACCCTTCCTACTCTGTGGGAAGGGGTTGTCCGCTCAGGGCCCAGGATGGATAAGGTTGAGGTAGTCAAGGAGCTGGTGGTCCTAGAGGTGGCACACTTGGTTCAGAGACATTGGTACACTGAGAACATCTGGAAGAAATAAACAGGTGGACGGTTCAGGTGAGACAGGGATAATAAGGTTCTGAGGTGGCACTGTCCTTGGAGGTGGGTCTCATGGTTAGTTTAGAAAAGGGGGAATCTTAGGACTGACAGGCATTGGGTGTTTTTTCACTGTAAACACAGGACTGGGGTAAAAGCATTCACTGGCTTACAGGCTGTGAGAGGCTGAGGTAGAGTTGTCTGTGGAGCACCATCTGTCCTGAGGTGGCAGTGAAACACCCCCAACAGCTCTCAGGGGTGCTTTTCTGTAAGCTTTGCTTCTGAGCAGTCTGGGTGCAACAGCTTCCATGATTTCACCTGCCAATGGTGTTCAGCATCCAGGGAAGAAGGTGAGGACAGGATAGGCAGACCAGTATCTCAGAGGACAGCCACTGACCTTGCCGCCACCAGACACGCTACAGCTCTCCTGCTGCTTCGCTGGCTGGGCCCGGCCAATCTTCAATGAGCAGATGCTCACCTGGCCTGCGGGTGCCCTCCCTTCTTGGCTATCTGCAATAGGATAAGGGACACCCTGGTGGCCAGCTTGCTTGCCGGGGTGGCATGGCCCTTGTGTGGGCCTATTCTGGCTAGGGCCGTTCCATGCCCAGTGGCCCAGTTCTGGACACACATACCACTTGGTATTTTGGTCACGGGTCTGGGAAACCTGGGAAATGGTTGACGGACAGTTAGCAAGTGCGGCCAGCACTTGGGCATGTCTGATGTCCTTCCTTCTCTCCTCCTGAGCCTGCACCTCCTGTTCCCGATTGTCCCTGTGTCTCCAAACTGCCCGTCGCCATCTGGAAAACACAACAGAAAATTACTGGGAGCTCGAGGCCTCAAGGTCAGGAATGCAGTTTCAGCGCACACCTCTAGGGGGTTGTGAAACTGGGGCCTCGAGCAGGTGCCCCTGTTCAAGGTAGAGGTCGGGGACCCCAGTCTTTGCCGGCAAACTGGGCCCAACTATTTTCTAGACATCAAGCATTGGCCACCGGCTTGGGTGACCGTACAGGGCCTACGGAGGGAATCACTGGCATGAGTAATTCACCGACCTCCAAAGGCGAGACCATTGGCTTCCCAATAGCCTTCAAAGGCAACGCTGGCAGGAGTGGGCTCTCAAGCCTATGAACAGGAGGAGCAATTAATCAGTAGTTCAGAGAAGATTTTAAGGAAATGGGGATCGTAGCCGGACCCACTGGCACAGCCGAACTGCATTAAGAGCTGTTCCAAAAAAGTGCTGGAATCGGTATTGCTGAAAGGCAAAAGTTAACAGTTATTCAGGGGCTTGCCTCCCGAGTGTCCTTGGCCTAGGCCTGGGCAACAGAGAACCAGCTAGGAAAAGAGCAAACCCATGCTGGCAGAACGCTAAAGGAACTCATTTGTAAAACCAGGAAAAGCTAAAGGGAATGGAGGGGAAAGGGAAACATTCAGCTTCCGGGACCCGGAGGGGCTAACTCCCGGGTCAAGCTTCCGTTGTCCTGCAACAAAAATGGCGGCCTCCACATCGTTTAATTGACTGGTGGGGGCAAGCCACTGAATCCAGAGTCCTGCAGACACCAACAGAGTTCACACGTGCGCGCATGGCTGTCTAGCTGGCCAGACACAAAGCAGACCACGGAAAATCAAAAAGGCACAGCATTCCCATCCCATCCCAGGAATCTAGGCTGGGGAGGGCATGAAAGCCCCCGGACACACAGAAAGGCTAGTGCACAGTGTCTCCTAAAAATAGGGAGCAGAGATAGAAATACAGACATGAAGGGTTGGGGCTTCTGCAATACATTAGGAGCAGGTCGCTGTGACTTTCCCGGCGGGATCAATCAAGGCTAGCGTCCTTTCCAAATCATGCGTGGTGCCGTTTTAGTGGCCAGCTGAGCTGCTGTTTCCTCAGCCTTGTGTATCCGAGTCACACAGCACCATATGTTAGATCTCAACTTCTCGTGGTCCATGGCTTCATGCGAGAAAGAATGCATGCCAAAGCATAGTTTGTGATCCAAATGAGTTTTGTGAAAATTAGAAGCCATTTCAGGTTTTACAGTAAAGGGAACACAAGCAGACAGAGTCCGGGACATGGTTGGCAGGATGTGGCCAGCCATGCTGAACTGTGCGTTGGAGCCGCTGGGAGAGTAGTATCTTCATTTTTATAAGATTGCTTACAAAACTTATAACAATCCATCATTCAGTTGTATAAAGCATGCTTGTACATAGGTCACCATAAATAATTTCAAAATATTTGCTTTCTACTTGAGTCCTTGGTATCAGCTCCTCTTTTTACCCCTCCCTCCCCCACAATCCCATTCTCATGAATCCTTGATCAATAATATATTAATTATTGTTATCAATAATTATATTGTTATTATAGTTATTATAATTATAATTATCAATAATATATTGTTATTGCATATCTTACACTGTCCATTGTCTCCCATCACCTACATTTCTGTTATTCATTCCCCTTTGAGGGAGGGGTCCATATATATCCAATTTTTTGATGGGTTTCCCCTTTAGCCCCCTACCCCCATCATCCCCCTACCCTCATGATATCACTATTCCAATAACTGTTCCTGAAAGGTTTACCTGTCCTGAATTCCATGTGCCGAGAGCTCTTATCTGTACCAATGTGTGTACTTCGGTCTAGTCAAATTTGTAAGGTAGAACTGCGTCATGGGGGTGGTAGGAAGGAAGCATTCAGGAACAAGAGGAGGCTGCAGCTGTACACGTAGTTGGGATTAGAGCCTGCCCCTCAGACCTCTCCACTGATTCCCTGCTTTATGCCGGTATGCTGCATTCACATCTTGGAGTACTGGGTTGAAGTCTGGTCCCTCTTTCCCTGTGGAGATATAAACAATACCCTCCCCTTGGGTGGGTTAGTGCCCTGTTCCCCTGCTGCCCATTTATTTCTCTCCCCACCCCCCACCCCCCTTATAGTTGACTACCATATGTATCCCTGGATTTGGTCTGGTCCCTGCCATACTACCTGGACCTCACCCCAGGAATGTTTGTATGTAGAGCTTTTTCCCTATGCCCCTTTTGCATTTTTTAAGCTTACCTCAGCAGTTTCATGTTGTACTTGTCCTTTTGTGCTTGGCTTACTTCGCTTAGCATAATTTACTCCAGTTCTTTCCATGTGAAGATGAATTTCCCCTTTTTGCCCCAGAGGAATGTCTTTAATGTCTTATCTTTGTCTTATGTTATTAACTAGGACTTTCAGTATGATGTTCAATAAAAGCATATACAAGGGACATCCTAATATGGTCCCCTTGTTCAGTGAGGTTTTTTTTCTTTTCTCCAGTTATTACTACATTGGCTGTGGGTTTTTCATACAAATGGCTTGTACTATATTGAGGAATTTTCCTTCCATTCCTATCTTCCTGGGTGTCCTAAACAGGAATGGGTGTTTGATGTTGTTGAAGAATTTTCCTGCATCTATTGATATTACTCTGTGGTTCTTCTCCTTTTTCCTGTCAATGTGGCAGATAATGTTAATGGATTTTCAGGTGTTGAACCATCCCTGCATCCCTGGAATGAACCCCATTTATCATAATATATTATTGTTTTATATATTTTTGTATTCTATTGGTCAATATTTTGTTCAGGATTTTTCCATCAGTATTCATTAGAGACAGCAGTCTGTAGTTCTTAATTCTCCTGGGATCCTTTCCCACTTTAGGTACCAGTGTTATGCTAGCTTCATAGAAAGTGTTTGGGAGTTTGCCATCCTTTTCTGTGGAAGAGTTTGTGTAGGAATGGTGTCATTTCTTCCCTGAATACTTGGTAAAATGCTCCTGTGAAGCCGCCTGACCCAGGGGATTGTCGAATTGGTAGTCCCTTGATAAATATCTATGTATTCTATTGCTATGGGTCTGTTGATGTTCTTGACATCCATCTGGGACAATCTATTGCTTTTCC